CCTGAACGGACTTGGACAGACCTGGACAGACCTGACAGACCTGGACTGACCTGACAGACCTGGACTGACCTGGACTGACTTGGACTGACCTGGACTGACTTGGACAGACCTGACAGACCTGGACAGACTTGGACAGACCTGACAGACCTGGACAGACCTGGACTCGTGTCCTCAGATGTTCAGATGGTCTGACAGAAATACTCGGTATGATCAGAGTTTTTGTGGTGTCACGTTGAACTGTTTCCTCCTCTACTTTGGCAGGAACCTTTTCTTCATCAGACTGACTGGACTGACCTAGACTGACCTGCACATGTTGGACCTCATGGTCACCCAGAACTTGACCCTGAACCAGTCCAGTCCAGAATCTCCTGACACTGAGCAGATCTGATCTTCAGTCATTTCTCACCTTTCATCCTGATTCACGTCTCATTTCCTTATCGTCTCTTTCAACCGTGTTTTACTTTAGAAAGACTTTAAGATCGAAGCTCAAGGTCACCTGAGGCATCATGGCGGCACGGCGCCCATCCTTAACAACCGCAACATCCACGATGGCGAACACAACTTTAGAGGAGGGACGACAGAGAGAGAGGGTCACTCTTTTAATCTACTTCCACTTCTGTTCTACTCTGCAGAGGGTGAGAGAGTGAGAGTGAGAGACGGAAAGTTAATGAAAGAGTGAGTGAGTGAGTGAGTGAGTGAGTGAGTGAGTGAGTGAGTGAGTGAGTGAGTGAGTGAGTGAGAGATAAAGAGAGAGTGAGAGAGAGAGTTATTGAGTGTTAAATAAATAAATGTAAAGGGTTATTTCAGAATAAAAGTCACAGCAGATCATTTAAAGCTCTACACAGGTTAGCCACGCCTCCTGGGGGGGGGGGTTAATTTATCTTTAATGAAGTAATTAGCTAACCTCTTTAATTAAGTAATTAGATAAGCTCTTTAATGAAGTAATTAGCTAACCTCTTTAATTAAGTGTGTTTTTAAAATAATCTGACTTCTGCATTCAGCTGATTTTACAGGTTAGTAAACTTTTTGTTTTTTAGCAGCTTTTTACTTCTATCGCCTTTATTTTGACATTAATATCCGTCCTCTCTTTAGTTTTTTTTGGCCTTTTTAAAAAAAATGTATTTTAATAAAATAAACAGTCATTGTGAACATGTGACTTCCGGACATTAGGACTGATTTCAGTCTAATGGATTAACAATAATTTACAGATACGTTTGTTCCTGCTGTGTTTCTGGGTTTAAAGTCTGTCTTTAAATAGAAAATGTGAATGAGATTAAATATTTAAGATTAAATATTAAAGATTAAACACAGCTCTGTGAGGTGGACTGTCGGAGTTGGCAGCTTTTAAAAGTTCTTCAGGAAACATAAACTCCTTAAACTCAGAGCTTTTAGGCCGTTTTCAGGAGTAAACCGACTTACAGCTTCACTTTTATGTTTCATTCTGGCTCTGGATGGGTGGGGGGGCTTCTAAACTGAATTCTTGAGTGCGAAATTTCAACGTGACGCTCGTGGGCTGGTTTTATTCTGAAAATCTGTACCGGAAGCTGAGGGTACGTTAGCCTGTTAGCTTCTTAGCTTGACTGTAGTTGAAGTGTGAGTGAGTGTGAGAGAGTGAGTCAGACCGAGGAGAGAGGAGAGGCTGGAAACACCGAATAAAGTGACTGTTACACTGAATAAACGGACTGTTATCGGGTTATCGGATTTAATTCTTCATCTGCGGACTTTCTGCTTCAATTTCACCTCAAATTCAGAGACTTTTCCGGGGGAGAAGATCCTCTTTATCGGTGAGTAACGGCGGTTAGTGTCCGGAGTTCAGGTGAAGGAGGTCCGACACCTTTACTTACCTGTTAAATGTTAAAATATTAGTTTATGTTCAGAATTAAAATGAGGACTCCAGCTATGTTTTATCAACACCTTACAAAATAAAAGGTGAAGTCAATTAAAATGAGTTAAAAGAGGGGAAACAGTTTAATCATAACCTTTTATTTTATCAACCAAAACTGAATCATACTGTTTTTCACAGCCACAGGAATAAACCGGTTATCTGTAATAGTTTAATGTAGACAGATCTGTTTAAATAATATAACAACATCAACTGAATGGTGTTTTAAAATGAAGACTGTTAGTTTTGTAGTTTTTTAGGGTTTCTTAATATCAGATCATTATTAACAAATAACAGAATTACCAAAATACAAAGACGGACTGTTTTAAATGGATGTTTATGTGGTTTTAAGTTACTGATCTGCAGTTTTCAGCGTTTCTCTGCATCAGCTTCATTCCTGCTGTTTTTTGGTTTCTTCTCTAAACCTGATTTTCACTGAAACAAAGATCCATTTCTGTGGTATTCACAGACAAACACCACGAAGGTTTCACGGTCTGAACTCACTGTGATGATCAAACACGTCATGGTGTGTTTGATAAAAGTCTGTAACTGAGTCCTCTGATTAGGGCTGGGCGATAAATCGATAACGATAAATATCCAAAATTAATTTCCCTTAATATCAGTATAAAACATGATCAATATCCTTTCCAATAGTCCTCATTCTGTCATGTTTTGGTCGACTATATGAACAGCCAATAAAAAGGGGAGTTGATCGGAGTCCGCGTCACGCTGAACCAGGTTTTGTGGTTTTCCTGGTCCCTTTAAAAAGTCTCTGGAGGCAGAGACTCGGTCCTGTAGACCTGAGTGACTGAGTCCAGAGAAGAACTCAGTTCATCGAAGTTTTAATCGGAGCTTTAATAACAGAAAAACGCTTCAGAAGTGACCAATGATTGCACCCTCACACCCGAGGTCACATGTTCACTCTGAGACGGGGATCAAACTAAAGAACATACGGCTACTGAGACTCACCTCTCCACCACAGAGCAGGTAACCCCGCCCCTTATACAACTAACCGCTATCAAACTCAGGGAACCAATAGCAACCAGACAAAGGTAATTGAACACAGGATAACCGATCAGCAGAGCAGCATCATGGCTTCTACACCAATCATGTTCTGAATCAGAACCAAGTATCAACCAACAGACAGCAGCTCCACCCAACCGTCGCACTTTAACAGGTGAAGCCGACAGCACTGTTGGTGAGAAACAAAGAAAATGAGTGCTACCCCCGACAGAAATGACCATGAAGGCTCAACAGATGACCACATCAATGTCAACCACAACACTGGCGTTAGGAAAACGTCGGTGGTGTGGAGGTATTTTGGTTTTTGGAGGTCGGACATGAAGCAGAGTAATGTGGACTGTAAATTATGTCGAGTACATGTTCTCACAAAGTCGGGGAATACCTCAAATCTTTTTCACCACCTGAAGCAGCGCCACGCCGCAGAGCACGCGCAACGCAAAAGGTTACAAACCCCGAGAGGAGCGAGGAGCCCGTGGCGCCTGAAACAGACGACCATTCAGTCGGCTTTCTCTAGAGCGACGCCTTACGACAAAACGCCAAAGAGACACAAAGACCTCACAGATGCAGGAGATTATTGTGTTGGAAAAGACATGAGACCAATAAACACTGTTAGATTTTTAGATCCTGATATTGATCGATATCAGCTGATAGGAAAACAATATATCCTGATGAACCCTCTGTATGTCGCTCAGCGCTGCCTCTGCTGTTTGTTTAGGTGAACTGAAGTCTCTGTGATCTCCTCACAGGGTCTCCTCTTCTCTCCTCATGACTCTGAACTTCTCTGAGTCCACAGACTCCAGGATCAACATCTACGCTCCTCAGTTTTCACACCTCAAACCCTCCACGTTCAGACCAGCTGATCTGCTGTGTTCCTCCTGGTCCACTCCTCTGGATTGAGGAGTCACCTGCTGCTAACTCCTCTATCAGCCTCCTCCTTATTTTCTAGGAGGAGAGGTCTGTGAAAACGAGCGCTTTAAGAGTTAGAGAGTCTGTTTACAGCAGGACCCCGGTCTACAGGCAGACCTGGACCCAGCCCAGTATAATGGTTGTGTTAAGGAGTCAGTCTGACAGAGGAAGAGGGCCCCTCCTCTGATTGGATGATGAAATTAGCCCCTCTTTAACACGCCGTCTTCTCCTCAAACACGCCGCGCTGACATCCTGCTGCTCCGACAGACAGAGGCTCCGGTTCTGACCCGATTAAATTAAAGTGAATTAAAGAGCAGATGGTCTGTGAGAAAGACCCCAGACCTGAACCCTGAACCCTGTCCCTGAGGGGGGCGGGGTCTCCTTTTGTGTTCATGTGTTCATCAGGCCGAGTGAACAAGTGAACAAACACTGAGGACAGGAGAGGAGGAGGAGAGAGGAGGAGGAGAGAGGAGAGGGGGAGGAGAGAGAGGGGGAGAGAGAGGGGGAGGAGGAGAGAGAGGAGGAGAGAGAGGGGGAGGAGAGAGGAGGAGAGAGGAGAGAGAGAGGAGGAGAGAGAGGAGGAGAGAGAGAGAGAGAGAGAGAGAGAGAGAGAGGAGGAGAGAGAGGAGAGAGAGAGAGGAGAGGAGAGAGAGGAGGAGGAGAGAGAGGAGGAGGAGAGAGAGGGGGAGAGAGAGGGGGAGGAGGAGAGAGAGGGGAGGAGAGAGAGGGGGAGAGAGGAGAAGGAGAGAGAGGGGGAGGAGAGAGAGGGGGAGAGAGAGGGGGAGGAGGAGAGAGAGGGGGAGGAGAGAGAGAGGGAGGAGGAGGAGAGAGAGAGGGGAGGAGAGAGAGGGGGAGAGAGAGGGGAGGAGGAGAGAGAGAGAGGAGAGAGAGGGGGAGGAGGAGAGAGAGGGGGAGGAGAGAGAGGGGGAAGAGGAGAGAGAGGAGAGGAGAGAGAGGGGGAGAGAGAGAGAGAGAGAGGGGGAGAGAGAGGGGGAGAGAGAGGGGAGGAGGAGGAGAGAGAGGAGAGAGAGAGGAGAAGGAGAGAGAGAGAGAGAGAGAGGGGGAGGAGGAGGAGGAGAGAGAGGGGGAGGAGAGAGAGGAGAGAGAGGGGGAGAGAGGAGAGAGAGGAGGAGGAGAGAGAGGGGGAGGAGGAGAGAGAGGGGGAGAGAGAGGGGGAGGAGGAGGAGAGAGAGGAGGAGAGAGGAGGAGGAGAGAGGAGAAGGAGAGAGAGGGGGAGGAGGAGGAGGAGAGAGAGGGGGAGGAGAGAGAGAGAGGGGGAGAGAGAGGGGGAGGAGGAGGAGAGAGAGGAGGAGAGAGGAGGAGGAGAGAGGAGAAGGAGAGAGAGGGGGAGGAGGAGGAGGAGAGAGAGGGGGAGGAGAGAGAGGAGAGAGAGGGGAGAGAGGAGAGAGAGGAGGAGGAGAGAGAGAGGAGAGAGAAGGGGAGAGAGGAGAGAGGAGGAGAGAGAGAGAGAGAGGAGGAGGAGAAGGAGAGAGGAGGAGAGAGGAGGAGAGAGAGGAGAGGAGAGGGAGGGGGAAGAGAGAGAGGGGGAGGAGGAGGAGAGAGGAGGAGAGAGGAGGAGGAGAGAGGAGGAGAGGAGAGAGAGGAGAGAGAGGGGGAGAGAGGAGAGAGGAGGAGAGAGAGTAGATAGAGGAGGAGGAGAAGGAGAGAGGAGGAGAGAGGAGGAGAGAGAGGAGAGGAGAGGGAGGGGGAAGAGAGAGAGGGGGAGGAGGAGGAGAGAGGAGGAGAGAGGAGGAGGAGAGAGGAGGAGGAGAGAGAGGAGAGAGAGGGGGAGGAGGAGGAGAGAGAGAGAGGGGGAGGAGGAGGAGAGAGAGGGGGAGAGAGGAGGAGAGAGAGAGGAGAGAGGGGGGAGGAGAGAGAGGGGGAGGAGGAGGAGAGAGGAGGAGAGAGGAGGAGGAGAGAGGAGGAGGAGAGAGAGGGGGAGGAGGAGAGAGAGGAGAGAGGGGGAGAGAGAGGAGGAGGAGAGAGAGGGGGAGGAGGGGGAGGAGGAGAGAGAGGAGAGAGAGGAGAGAGAGGGGGAGAGAGGAGGAGAGAGAGGGGGAGGAGGAGAGATAGAGGAGGAGAGAGGAGGAGAGAGAGGGGGAGGAGGAGAGAGAGGGGGAGGAGGAGGAGAGAGGAGGAGGAGAGAGAGGAGGAGAGAGAGGGGGAGAGAGAGGAGGAGGAGAGGAGAGGAGAGAGAGGAGGAGAGGAGGAGAGAGAGGAGAGAGAGAGGAGAGGAGAGAGAAGGGAGGAGAGGGGAGAGAGGAGGAGAGAGAGAGGAGGAGAGAGAAGAGAGAGGGAGGAGGTGGAGAGAGGAGGAGAGAGAGGGGGAGGAGGAGGAGAGAGGGGGAGGAGAGGAGAGAGGAGGAGGAGGAAGGAGGAGAACAGTGTTCAAATAAAACTGTTCAGACAGAAATGATCATGTAGAGCTGAGCGATATTAGAAAAAGTTAATCATGATATTTGTTTTGATTATCAGCTGATATCGATCAATATCAGGATATAATGATGAAATGTAACCGAGTTTCCTGGTCGCCTGTTTTCCTAACGCCAGTGTTGTGGTTGACATTGATGTGGTCATCTGTTGAGCCTTCATGGTCATTTCTGTCGGGGGTAGCACTCATTTTCTTTGTTTCTCACCAACAGTGCTGTCGGCTTCACCTGTTAAAGTGCTATGGTTGGGTGGAGCTGCTGTCTGCTACGACGCTGCAGTTGGTTGATACTTGGTTCTAATTCAGAACATGATTGGTTCAGACCCGGAGACACTCCCCTTTTCATTGGCTGTTCATATAGTCGACCAAAACATGTCAGAATGACGACTATTGGAAAGGATATTGATCATGTTTTATATTGATATTGAGGGAAACTATCGATAATGATATTGATGAACTGAGTCACTCAGGTCTACAGGACCGAGTCTCTGCCTCCAGAGACTTTTTAAAGGGACCAGGAAAACCAGAACCAGAACCAGGACTCTAAAGGGACAGTTTTTCTCTGTTCACACCTGAATTGGACCTTTGGTAAATCCTGATATCAGTTTGGACCAGAAGACCAGAGGAGCCCCCTGAGTTCAGTCAGGACCCCCTCTGACTGAAACAGACTGAGTTTTAGAGGTTGATCTGGGACCCTGGAGTCCTCTCGAGGTTCTTTAAAACCGGACCACAGCTTCCAGCAGAACTTCAGGCTCCGCCCACAGGGTGGTCCCTCAAAGTTCTCCTGCCACAGTCAGATGTTCGGCTCTTCAGTCCCTGTGGTTCATTAAACACAGAAGAACTGCAGATCCATCAGGAGACCAGAGACCAGAGTCAGACTGGGAGGGACCAGCAGCCCCACATCACCCCCCAAACCTGAACCAGATGTGGTCTCCAGCTGTGATGAGGTTTCACTCAGACCTCTGCCTCCTGTGTGGTCCTCCTCACCCAGACTGGAGCTGCTGTGGGCTTCAATCTGGGCTTCAGGGAGACCAGGTTTAGGTCACCCTGAGGGTAGACCAATGGAGTGGTGCCACCTAGTGGACCGGTTTGGTACAGTTTGGTCTGGTCCAGTAAACCCTCAAACTAACCCTCATCGGTCTCGCTCTCTTCACGGCCTCAACGCCGCGGTGATGGAGCGTCTTCTTCTTCTTCTTCTTCTTCTTCTTCTTCTTCTTCTTCTTCTCAAAGTATCATGAAGTTGAGGACCAGACGGACGGAT